TCAGTTTGCTCCACACACACACAAACATTTGCCTCATTTCCACCTTAATGTCCTTTTGACTAGCCAAAAAAATGAGCCACCTGTGTTCCTCCTAAAAATGTTTCCCTAACCCGTCTGCATGAAGGAACACAAGGTGCTGCTTCAACGCCCACTTCTGTCTGCAGCTTTATAGATGTGAGGTCACGCTCACAACCTGAGGATGGAAAAAAAAGGCCGACATGTTTGCATAAATGTCCCGTTTGTGTCCCGGTGTGACTGCGAAACCAAAAACTGTCGTCCCGCTTGGAGACAGACTAACACTGAACACTCATTCATGGTCGGAGCGCGTTCTAACGGGCCGACGGCTGCCTGGCCAACGCTCCGCGAGCCGCTGCCAGACACGCGCTGGACTTCAACAAGTGCCCTCTGTGGCGAGTGTGCGCGTGCTATTTATGTTTGCGTTCAGCCAGATCATTCGAGCCAGCGCTTCAACGTTTCCCCTCCAGTGTGGAAATTATTTCGAAGCGAGCGGTCCTCCACCCGAGCTTCTAAAGATGGAACAGAGTGGAGTAACGGACGTTTAGTGATGACCGCTGCTGCGGAAGAATAACCCTCTCTGTTCCACTTAGCAACATTGTAACACAAATATTACAGCAGTTCCTCAAACAGATAGGAAAAGACTGAAAATTACTTCTTATTCCACCCAGCGGCCCCCTCCTTTACAGCGCACTGACACCAGTTTCCACACTCATAACACTACTGACTGTTTCTTAACCTGAATCTTATAACTGAAGAAGGCAAACACTCGTTTCCTTTTGCTCTCTCTTTCACCAGCAGACCTCTCAGTCTCCCTAATAAACGAAACATGGCTGCAGCTGATCAGCTGATCAGCTGAGTCTTCATCGTCTCACAGCTCTGCATCGTTCGCCCTGAGCTCTTCTGGTGAAGTTGCAAGAATGTGAAAGCGTCTTTTTCAAATTCATTTCAAAAAGAATGAAAAGAATAAGTGCTGTAATTCCAAAAAACATAACAACTCAACATTCCCTCTTGGTTTGGCGAGAGCATAAGACCAGGGGAGCACAAAACTGTTTCGAGGTCGCCCCTTTTCCTCGATGCTGTTTGCGATATTTCAGGCGAGCACCTTAAGGCACAGTCGGTGTGAGGGGCTCGTACGAATCACTCCTGTGCTTTTTGAAGATAATGTGCTTCTGCTAGCGTGATAACGATGTGACCTTCAGCATGCACTGGAGCAGCCTGCAGCCAGGTGAGAACAACCTGATATATTCGCCTCCAAGTCAGTTCTTTGCTATTCATTTGTGGACTGCACCATCCAGGAAAAATGAAACATAAATGTAGCACGAGGTGAAGAGGAAGGCAAACCTTACGCTTCTGATTAACCTGGTAATGTTTGTTCCAACCTTCATCCTTTCTGCTAATAAGGACTGAAATATTAGCCCCGCTATGAACCTTTGTTATATTTCCTTCTTCCTGTAAAACAGAGCAACAATGTTTTAAACACAGCTGTTCCAAACATCCCAGTTTTACTGTAGATATTTACTTTATTTTACTTTGCACATTAAACTTGGAAACACACTGATAACTTTTTATGTCCTGATTTTTCAGCATCAACAATTCCTTCCCTCAGCTCACATCTTTATGGTTTATACTGTGTGTAATAAAAAATGAAAGCACGTCATTGGTCAGTCGGTTCAATCAAAGGTCAGTCTAATAATATTCACCCTCATAATTTCTGTTTTTATCAGATTATAATTCTTTTATTATGTGCAAACATAAATAATCTGTGCTGGGGTGGGCGGGCTCATAATCCTGTCCTAATCTTTATAAAGAACCACTTAGCAGACAGAAGTGACCCAAACTAGGACAAGGAAGCTTTTTATTCCAAAAAGCAGCAGCTGAAGTGCTTTGGTTTGATTAAACAGCTTTTGGGAGTTTCCCCAGGAGGAAGGTACCAACCTTATTTACGAATAAAGCGTCAGGATGGACGGAGTGTGAAAATGCATAAATGAAGTTAAAGCAAAGCTGTTTTAGTAACATAAGAATAAGTAGCAAGGAGTTTTTCCTCCAGCAGTCAAAACATATCAGCTCGCTCCGCTGAGGAGTCTTAATCCACAGCAAAACAAAATCATCCCTGTGCCGTTTTCCACTGCTGGAGGAGAGGCTGGACCGAGGATGTAAGGAGC